AAGATGAGCAGGAGGATCGTGTTTCGTTGACATATGATCCCGAGCAGGAAATCATTCATTCGGTTTTGTTATTTGTTTCTTTCTGATTCTTGAAGCGGTTGGCTCTTGCTTTTGACGGAAGCGTGAGGTGAGGTCTATTTGGAAGCGTTTCGTTGTAGACAAAGGCGTTTTAAGGAGGGATTGTCACTTGGTAAGAAGTAGCAACAAGAGATTTCTTGGTTGATTAGGAATTTGTCTTGGAAGTCCTAGTAATAATCCTCCCTTACTTGGAAAAAAAAATCTTGCTCTTTACTTAGTCACGTATTGTACAAATATATCTTTTCACAAACTTGTGGGTGAATAGTTAGCAGTAAAAAACTTATTCTTTATTATATTATGATTTGTAGTAGTTACCTCCCAGTATAGATTAAGAAATTAAAGTATTTTCTTTTGAAAATGAATTACATATATTGTTGAGCTAATCCATTAATCTTTTGCACTGTAATTATCAATAGCACAAACAAATCACCAGTAATTTAGACTATGAATAGGTCTTTGGTGACCCATTACAACATAAAATACAAGTTATTGACCTGATGAGAAGCTACCCAAAATGACCAGCAACTAGTAAAGGAAAAAAAAATAAAAACTGCCTAGTATCTTTGAATATCAGTTAGTAACACTTAAATTGTCTCTTATTATCTACATTGTTTTCATATAAGAGAATTGTTTTATTTCAGCTCTAAACAATTCTTGGCATTTCAAAACTATTTCTTGGCTAGTGAAATCCCTACTTCAAATGCCTGAAATGAGGCGAGAACACACTGTTTTGCATGGTACAAGTAGACGTGTATGTTTTTTAGTGGTGACACTTGTGAATATTTTGTTTCAGACCTTTTAAATCAGGTGATTGTGGGTCTTATGGATAGGCAAGTATATAGAAATGTGGGAATATTGTGTTTTTTTTTTTAGGTTGTACAATGATAGTTTATATTCATAATTTTAGTCAGCAGACACTAGTAACATGCAAGTAAAACTTTGCATATATCACATTGTTGTCAAAAAAGAGAAGTTTTTCCAAACTGGGTAGACTATTCTGATGCATGGTTGTACTCTTTCAGGGTCTTTGCTTATGATTCATATATTTCTGGTATTTTTATTATTATTTTTATTATTGGTGTGTCCATTATCATTTCAGCATCACAGGCTTTTATCTAGCATGATTATTGTATCACAAGCATAATTCATTTTCGTCTCTTGGAAGCAGTATCATTCAAATCGTTCTATAATTATTTTAGCGAATGGATTGTTTTTAGTGATTACATGTCAGAAAAATCTGTTTCTTATGCTTTTTTTTTAAGGAGCTTTCATATATGTATGTATGTATATATATATATATATATATATATATATATATATATATATATATATATATATATATATATATATGTATATGTATATGTATATGTATATGTATATGTATATATGTATACATATATGTATGTATGTGTGTTTGTGTGTGTGGGTGTGGGTGTATGTATATTTGTATATATATGTGTGTGTGGGTGTGTGTGTATGTATATTTGTATATATATGTATGTGTGTGTGTGTGTGTGTGTATGTGTGTATATATATATATATATATATATATATATATATATATATATATATATATATATATATATATATATATATATATATAGTCCCCTACTTAAGAACATTCTACTTATGAATGTTCCATACATACAAACAAAATTTTTTGAGTACTAAAGTCCAAAAAATTGTTTGAAAGATGCTAGCAAACTTCAAATTTCCCAGGCACGAATATAGTTCAAGAGTCTGGTACTGTATAAGGTATGTCAAACTTATTAGAATTTATTTACAGGTATTCTTAATGTAAACAAAACTTTAAAACAATGGGGAAAAAGGTAATGGAGACCCTACTTTCGACATACAAACAAATCAACTTACAAACAGCCTCTCGGTCCCCATTATGTTCTTAATTTGGGGACTTACTGTATATATATATATATATATATATATATATATATATATATATATATATATATATATATATATATATATATATATATATATATATATATAGACACATACATTTATATACATATATATATATATTTTTCTCCCCCCTCCAAATCCACTTTATATTTGTGATCTATGATGGATAGTCTACAATTTGAAATCCAACGTAAAAGTGTTATATTGTCAAATGTTTTACGCTCCAACAAAGGCCAGCAAACTTACATTCTAGCAAGATATGGCATCATTAATCTTTATGGTATGGATACACTAAGCTAGTACAAATTAAAAAGGATATTCTTATAGAGAACAAAAAGACTTAGTCATTAGTATAAGAAATAAACTGCAGACATGAACAGTAATGCCACAGTTAAAGGAAAAAGCTGCTTATAGCCTAAGCCAACTCAGTCCACCTGAGTAATGTCAGTTTAGATTGTTGAATAAAGTTTGAAACCCCTGGAGTTATGTCTGTATTGTAAAGAGTATATGTAATTTTTTTTTTTTTTTCTTCCTTATTTTTTATTTATTTATTTTTTTTTTCCTTCCTTCCTTCCTTCCTTCCTTCCTTTTCTTCTTCTTCTGTTTCTTCTTGCTGTTTTGCTTGCTTTGTTGCTTCTTCTTCTGTTTCTTCTTGCTTGTTTTGCTTTGCTTTGTTGGAATGCCAAGAGGTATGGAGGCCGCTAAAGCCAGTGGTACCCACAGGGATGTCATCTAAACAATTACCCAACTTATTTTGCTTTTTTTATCATCATGACTCATTTTTTTGGTAAAAGTAATTTTCATTATCTTGATCATTGTCACTGGTGATGATTTCTTTATTGTTGTTGTCATAGTTGTTATTGTTGTTGTTGTTAGTTAGTTATTTTTCTTGTAATTATTATAGCAGTTGTAATTATAATATAGTTATATCAAATAATACTTTAACTTAAAAAAAAAAACCCTACTTCATTGTGTTTGTGAATCCACAGAAATTACAATTTGCCAAGACAGTAAAGAATGTTATATTTAAAGTGTTAATGGACATTTAGATTCATAGGAATTTGATCTGTGATGATAATTTATATACTATGTTACTTACTTCTATGTGTTTAATATTTCATACTAGTTTTTGTTGTATTGTTATTGTTTCTCTTATAAACACTACTGCTCCCTACCTTCAAAAAAAATCAGCAGCATTTAACAAAATCATACTTATTTGCAGGAGGATGGTGCGCGTTATTTCCGTGCACCACTTCACACGGCAGGATGTGGCTGGACTTGAGCGCGCAGGGGGAAGAGGTGTCAGTCGTGGAAAGGCCGATATCCTGCTGGTGGGAGGAGAACACAAGGTGGACGTCCGAGACCTGAAGCTAGGTGGAGTCCTCAATGGAAGCTTTCCTACAGTGGATCTTGTTCAGCAGCTGGCTTATTGTGAAACAGGTATGTGGAGAGGGAACTTTATGGGCAGCGTGTTGATGTGGGATGTCAAGAAATGTGTGGCATATGTTGTGGTTTTTGTCTTTGCTCTGATTTTATTCTGAGCAGCTGTAATTGTCAAGAAAGATAGTAGGAAATGTATCTTTTATGCTTCTTTCAATTTGGTTTTATTTCTTTTTAAGGAAATTATGTGTGTACCTTGGAGACCAAGCCAGCTCGACATGGGGGAGACCACAGGTATGTGCGGGTATACCTGAATTGGGAGCAGGACAACACGAACCAGCCAATGAGGGCTCGCATTGCAGGCCGTGTCACTCCCAGCAGCCAGTCTGGGGTTGCCAACTTGGAGATGGTGGAAATACCCCTTCGCAAACCGGCAGAATATATTGCCTGTTGCCAGTCAACAGGCAACATTGCAGTGTCATGTGGAATAAGTGTGACCATCTTCAGGTTCTGCCACAAGACCCATGATATCTCTAAACTTAAATTCATTGACTTTGAAGAGCTCATTGAGCTTGACATGTCTTTCATCGTCAAAGAAGTAGCCATATCGGAAGATCTGATTGGCTGCATCTCAGAATCAGAAGCACATATATTTCAGGTGACAATAAACTCACATCTTCTCAAGGCATCCTCAGAGGAGAAAGAAACTAAGCCACAGGAAAAGAGGAGCAAGTCCCGCTCAAAGTCCAAGACACGGTCGGCCTCTCGGTCCCCAGGAAGAAGCATTGACTCCCTCAGTTCAAGCAGCAGACTGAGGGGTAAGCGCTCCAGTCCAAAAGAGGTGAGGATCTGTGTTATTTTTCCTCATTTGAATTTTATTTTGACAAAGAAAAGGGATTATGGAAATGCATTATGTTCTTGTTATTTGAAAAATAGCAGGATAAGAAAATAATTTTAGTTAGATATTTGTTATTTTACACAATAATTTCAACTGTGCCAAATAGTACAAAGATTTAAGAATATTGTGAATTAAGAAAAAAAAAATCTTAAGAAAATCGCCACATCACTGGTAGTTTCTATGCCACATGATATACATTTCATTCATATACAGGAATCTTTGAGCGTCATCCGCAATTCAGAGGACTATGTAGACCTCAGCGAACTGACCTGGGTCCCAACATTGTCCTATGGCCGCAAGAAGCCCTCTGAGGACCAGCGCATCTTGCTCTTTCCATCACTTGTGGGAGCTGCACACTGTGGGCCTTTGGCTGAGCCAGGCGAGATCATCGGCCCAATCAAGTAGGTGCTGAGATTCATGTGACAAGTAAAGAGGGTAAATGTGGTGTTGTTTTCCCTGTCTTTTTCTATGACAGACAGAAGGAATTAGGATCTGGCACTATCATTAAGTTATGTTTTGTTATTTTCATTATTTATGCTTTTTATAATTTCATGTTATTTTCTTCCTTTTTTTTTTTTACATATTTAGTGAATGTTTATTTAGATATGTTAAATATTTTTTTTTATAGTATTGTTACCATAATGCACTCTGCATAAATGAAAAAATGATATCTTTTATTACCTTTATATGTGTTATTTTGATTACAGTTCTTCACGTTGCTCTAACGTTAGGGTGAAGTTGGTGAGTGGAAGTTCAGCTCAGAAGGTGCCTCAGAATGTCTTTGAAGCAGTGACGCTCATTCATCGCCGAGCAGATCACAATAATGATCCAGACATTCCGTTTTCCAACCTGAAGGTCATGGCTGTTTATGATGCTGAGGCAGGAAAGAAAGGTATCTGGTTATTCATTTTCTTTAACCCTTTCACCCCATGTGGCAAGAATACATGCTATGCCCACTGTAATATACGTTTATTTATTGTATTTACACATAGATGGCTCTACAAGTTCTTAATCACCAAATAGCCAGTTTATCAGAACTACCTATCTCACCTGTTTACCCTTTTCCTTCACTTAAGGAAAGGGTTTTTTTTATATCATTTCATTGTCTAAAATATTTTAATAACAATTTAATAATCATAACATCAATAACAATAATAACAGTATCGATAGCAATGCTATAATTTTCCTGCCAATTTAATGAATGGGAAAATCAGGATCGGTAACTAGGGCCTACTGATAGACTCCTTGCCGGCTGAGCACATGTGGAGCAATCTGTATATAACAAAATTCACCAAAAACTAGACAGGTCAAAACATAAATCCGGGGCGAATGGGTTAAGTAGTAGTTATGTTTTAGCAGGTATCAATGATATGAGCTCAAATACAGTAGGCACATGATTTTAGATTATGCATATTAAATAATATCCTTTTCCATAGGTGGTGCTTCTACTCCAAGACGAGCATCACATCCCTTGCTTCCCGCAGGGCTCAGCCAGAAAAGTAGGGGCTTCCATTTTCCTGACAACACCTCATGTAGGCCAGCTTTATCATGTCACCCTGTCTGATGATCCCTTTGGTGAGTTGTTTTTTTTTTTCTTTTTCTTTTTTTTTCTTTTCTTTCTTTACTTTACTTATCTTTTTTCTTTCCTTTCCTTTCCTATGTTCTTCTCTCTCTCTCTCTCTCTCTCTCTCTCTCTCTCTCTCTCTCTCTCTCTCTCTTCTTTTTTTTTTCTTTTCTTTCTTTATTTATTATTTTTTTTGTTCTTAACATAAATTATTTAGACTTTATGTATGCAAAGGATTAGCCCCATCTGTTTTTAAATTTTGGGGGCGGTATTAATATTAGGTTTATTCAGTTGATTTTATCTATCTTTTTCATGTCTTCTACGATTTTCTGAACAATTTCATTATATAAAGATGTGATGACAATGTTTTTTTTTTTTTTATGTCCTTATCTCAATTTTGATCTGTTATCAGGGCACAGTGTAGTCCGAGGAGGAGTATTTTCATACACAGCGCCTGTCTACTCTGTGGCCTTGGAACCATCACTCTTGCATGCACTCACACTCACTGGCCTTGAGACATACACACTGAGGCCTCATCCACATGTCGTTGTCTCTCATTTACCGGAGGATCTGAATATGATTGTGAGTATTATAGATTTATTTGATTAACCCTTTGCTGCTGGGGGAAAAAAAAAATGGGGGAAATGCTGTGCTCATTTTTTATATTTTTTTGTGAAATGTCTCTGTACATAGATGGCTCTGCTAGTGCTTAGCCTTAAAGGAATTAATTAGTAGATCTTGTGACCTTACCTGATTTCGCCTTTCCTTGAATTGACTGAAAGAATGTATTTTTTACTAGTGCTATGAATAACGATGGTGTTGTTTTTATTATGAACATTATAATTACTATAATGGTCTAAACTTTAGTTTATAAGATAAAGTAAAATATTTTCATAAATCAGTGAAAAGGGTGAACGGGCAAGACAGGCAGTACTCATAACTGGTGACTTAGTACAAGATTAGCCATCTATGTGTAAAAACAATTAAACAAGTAAACTCACAGTGGGCATGGCATGTACGTACATGCCATGCCCGTCGGCATTGGGTTAACCCAATGGTGCCGGGGAAAATGAACAAAAAATGGAGAAAATGCTGTGCCCACTTTCTATGTTTTTCGTGAAATGTCTGCCGATAGATGGCTCTGCTAGCGCCTGATTTGAAATGGCGGGAAAAACGTATTTTTCACTAGTGCTATGAAAATCGATGGTGTTATTTTTATCAGAAACATTATTATTTTTATAATGTTTTTTAACATTAGTAACAGCAAAATAAGATAACGTAAAATATTTCGTAAATCAAAGAAACGGGTAAACTGGGTGAGACGGGCGGTACTCCTAACTGGCTCATTGGTGATTTAGTACAAGTGTTGCCATCTATGTGTAAAAACAATCAAACAAGTACTCATGGTGGGCATAGCACGTACGTACACGTCATACCCGGCACCAAGGGGTTAATGGTAATATGATATGAAGATTCATAATTTATGGTGATGATTATTGTATTGATTTGTTTATCTTTCTTAGAAGATATTATCTTTCCATTTCGTTTGTGATCAGTTTTGTAATAAGGGAATTGTGTTATATTCTGAAAACTTATTGTAGATGGTGAAACTGAATTCTGGATATTGTTGATAGATGTACAACTTACATTAATAATATTTACCAGGTTCCTCCACACTGGGAAGAGACAGTGTGTTTAGTGGGTCTACGACCTTTCCTTAATGTTGAAAGCTTGACCTTGACTGATTCCTGTCTTGCACTCATTGCTGCAAATAATGAGTGAGTGTTACTTCCATGATATTGTGATTCTCTTTTATATTCCATCTAGACATTGATATCCACTGGAAGGGGAGATTTACTTTTCAGACCATAACTTTTCTGCATTTTATATATATTGTTTATATGTTTAATATCCTTTTTGTTAACTTAAGGTTGATAAGTTCTGTTGGAATAATTTAGTTGCTTTCAATAATAGATATGAATATTACAATTATGCAATACACATTCTCCATTTTCTGATATAATGTTTCTATAACAAATGTTTCTTCTATACTTTTAGATGTATTCTCAACCTTTTTAAATGGTGTACTCTATAAGACAAACTTATCACATTTTCAGAGGTGGTGACAAATCCCACACTGTTTACTCACTTCACCTCCCGAGTGCTGCCAGTCTCTATAAGGAGATGGTGCGAGTGGGACGTAGCCATAGGTCTGCCTCCCCCTCCACCTACCTGCACCTGCTCCTTGAGGCTCACCTAGTCCTTACTACTGCCCTCCAGCATGAAATGCCGACGGAGGATGAGGCAGAGGAGGACCTATACTCTCTCTTACAGGATTCATCTGCATTGTTGGGAGATTATTATGCCCAGTGGGTGGTCCTTCTGCATATCATTATATTATGCTGCTTTTTTTTTCATAGTTACTTTGCAAGACCCTTTTGTGTCTGTGTACTAGCATTATATAAGATTAGTTCAATAGGAGTACTGTTTTTAATACCTGGCATTTTAAATTTGAATCTTCTTACTAGAAATATATATTTCTTCTTGTTCTTGTTCTGTTTGTGTCATTCTTCTGTTTATGGATTATTGGAATGACATCGTAAGAAAAGAATACATAACCATTTTCCAGATGTGAGAATGAAGCCGAGTGGCGTCAAGCAACACAGTATTATCAGGTTTCAAGCCTGAGTCCAGATGCAGTGATTGAGAGACTTGAGCTCACTTGCCCTGGTTTGGTTGCTGTTGTCTCCTCGCTTCTGCTCCACCCTAATACTCCATCATTAACAGCTGCACAGGTAAATGAGAGTTTGTCTTAATATTTCAGGGTTATTCTGTTCCCTGGTATTCCCTGTGTTCCGTTGTATTGGTCCTTGTATTGTGAATATTGTTAATCTGTTCTCTGTGCAATGAAAGTTGAAAGTAGTGTTTGTCAATATGGGACTAATTTTTAAAAGTGATTTATGTAAGTTATTGTTATAGATTTTCTGTTCTCATAGTTTTTATTATCAGTTTTCATTGGGATACCTATGTAACTCCTTTTAGTTTAGAGACAGTGCTTTAAATGGTTGAGAAATTTAGGAAATGTGTTAAATGAATTGATAAAACCTGTATTTTTTAGTTGTTTATTTTGTATCAGGTTTATAGAAAATATGAATCCTTAGTATACAACAAGAATAAAAAGATATAACAAAAACTTGAGACGAAAGATATCACCAGACTATCAGTAGCTAGAATGTAAACAAAGGCTATTTATTATATGAAAAAGAATCATTGAAAAGAGAATAACAAAAGCTATTTGAAAATATGCTAATAGAAAAATTATTATTATTTTTTTTATTATTTGTTTTTTTTTTTTAATTCTATTTTTTTATGTTTTTATCTTGTTTTGTTATATTTTATGTATTTATTTTTTTATATATTTATTTATTCATTTATTTATTCATATATATATATATATATATATATATATATATATATATATATATATATATATATATATATATATATATATATATATATATCCAGTATTTCTGATATTTTACTCAAGCAACTGATATGCTTAGCATATGACCTGGTATAGCTGGGGAAACATTACTATTATCATTGTGTTTTTAACCCATGGGTGACATCTACTCATAAAATAGCAAACAAGGCTCAAATGCCGAGTAGCAAGCACCCATGCCATGTGCAGATTTGCTTTTAACATAGTCATTAAGGAGACACAGCCCCTCAAAAGTACACTTGACTCCCAAAAACCACAAACACCCTGTTTGTCTGTGCTCCCCCAATCACTAAAAATGTTTTTTCAAGTTTGGCTAAGGCAAATTTTGGCTTAGTTTTACATATCAGAAATGTATATTTCATTCCATATCTCAAAATTCCAAGTGTCAGTCAATTGGAAAATTTAAAAAGGTTATCACATTAACCCCTTGCATATGAATAAAAATTTTGATAGATTACTTATGAATATGTAAATAAAACCTATGTGATTTAATCTTATTCTCATATAATTCAGTAAAGTTAGAAAATTAAAACTAATGAGATGTATTAATAGTAGTACCCTGATACGTATTAGTATGGTGTGTGGAGGGGGAATGTGGGTGAGGATCTAGGGTTTAACTGCATGAAAAATGGTATGCAGCACCAGAATTACTTCTTCACACTCATTACATTTCATTCAGAAGTGTCAGGCAAATAATTATGTGATTGGCTCAGTTAGAGGAGTAAGTGTGGCTGGGAGGATATAGTGGTAGTGACTGAGGGAACTTTCCCAAAGAGTACCAGATATATATTAGTGGACAAGCAATACATGTCATTCATAAAGAAAAAGCTGGAGAAAATTCTGCCAGTAATTGCCGGTCTTTTCATGATTGTGATGAATATAACTTTAATTATTTTGCAATTATCAGGGTAGATAGGACCTTATGGGTTTAAGTCTCATTTTAGCCTCATTCTTAAAAGATCAGGTATGCCACAGTTAAAAGTGCACTCAAGTGGCTGACTGCCTGTGAAGCCCAGCACAAGGAAATCTTGTTATGAATGGGTTAATAATGGTAATGACAATAGAAATAAAAACTCCTCTTTCTGTAAATTCAGTTGGGTCAGTCAGTTGAGTTGAGCATCTAAGTGCTTGTAAAACCATTTGTTTAAACAAAATTAGCTAAACAAAACCGCAGTGGACAGTGTATGTATACAATACATGCACTTCCCCTCAACAGGTGAACAAAATCTTATATGAAGTTATATAAAAAAGAGAGGGAAAGATGTTAACAAAAAACTGATAAAAGATACTAATAACAAGTTCTTTGTTGTTTCCCATAGGCTAATTGTGTGCTGGAAATGCTGGAGAAAGTAGCTCCAGAGAAGGTTTCAACGATTATTCTCAAGTCTACTTGCTTTACAGAGTACAAGAAAGATAAGGTAATGATAAGGAAGTTTTGTTTGCAAATGTGAAATGGAATATATGCAATTAACCACATTTTGCCAATAATTTAGGGTGTACTTTTTCATCTGATTCATTATAATGTAGATTAAATATCAATACCGTAAAAAGCAAATACAAGGTTACTTTCTCTTTTTAACTGATTTCATGCTCACACATTTTGCAGGTGCTAAGCATAATCAAGCAAGAGTTATCCAAGACAAATGAGCCACGACCCACTGATGTGCTTGCACTTGCCCTTGTGTTTTTGGACAGGGGATCTCCTGAACAGGTAGGGTAGGATCCTTAAGTATGAGGTGTAACACAACATGCAATAATGCTCAGAAACATAGGTAATATATCCCACCTTTATAAATTCTTTTTCTTTATTGCCAGGTCTCAACTGTTTTAGCTTCACTGAGAGCTTATCAGCTTGTTGTGGCTTTGCTACAACACTCGCGTCTCCTGTTCACAGTGGAGAATGGATCAACCAGGCTCTCACCTTTAGCACAAGTATGTGTATTGGCTGTACTATATGAATGTAGGAGTGTAGCATAGCTTAATTCAATTCTATACTTAATACTTACAAAAGAGTTTGCTGCTGTATAGCACATTGATTGTTACTGTTGATGCGGTTTTGTGAATACAATAACTTTGCTATTTGTTTTTTTCATTAACTTTTATGCTTACAATCTTTGACCTTGTGGTATATGTCATTGCTTAAAATTTAAAAGCAAATGTATTTTATGAAAAATGAAATTAAGCAGACACCCTGAACATTTGATTTTTGCTAAGTCTCTTCCTCTTCTTTTTTAGGTTTTAGCAGAGCACAAGAAAGAAGTTTTCACTGAGGTATTTGTGTCTCTCATCGGTGAAGGATCACTCACTCTCAATGCCTTTGTTGATGCATTCATAGCTGTTTACCCCATTATGTCCTGTGGGCCAGAGTGTAACACCCATTCTCTTCGACTGCGAGATTTCCTTGAAAAGTTCTTCTTGGAGTATGCACATAATGCTGAAGTGAGTAATTTCCCTGTCAAAATAAATTAAAATTAGAATAAACAGGTGATGAGGATGTATAACATATAATGAGGACGTATATATATACTGGTATAAATATGCATAGATAAATAAAATACAACTGTTAACTTGATATGAGGTTTCTAATTGATTCTTTATATGGCAGATTACAGACCAGAGGGAGAGATATGACAGGGCTATCACAGTCCTTGTTAGTCTCTATCTTGCCAGCTTGATGGGTGCTTTTGGTGATAAAGTAAGTCTGTGTTCGAAATATTTGCATAAACCACATAACATAACATTGATGTATAATGTAAGTTATGCAGCTTGATATTGCATAGCTTAAACAGTGCACCATAACAGAAATAGTATAGTGCAAAAAACTATAACTATGCTCATTTTTAGCTCAATTTCAGAAGATATGCTAACAGTTTATTCACATTAAGGCATGGTATTTCATTATCAATTTTAGTGCTTGCAAGTTTCTCTTTACGTCACTAATTATTTTTATTATATTATTTTTTGGCACTATTTTCATTATAGTATTTGATATTTTTGTAATATTCATATTCTTATAAGTATTATTATCAGTAATATAATACTTTCAGTAATATAATACTTTCAGTATCCTTATTTCATACTTAGATATCTGTTTTCATGTTTACTTTGTATTTCAACCTCAGACTAAGGAAGACCCCAACTGGTGCGATCAACGTGCTGCACTGAAGGAACTGTACGCCCCTCGACCAGTCTTCCTCAATCTATTGCCACCATTCAATGTGCAAAAGAAAATGGAGAAAGAGGAGAGCCAGAGCGATAAACCAGAGGGACAGTCGAGCCCAGGACAGGAGGAGGAGGAGGAAGAGGAAGGAACTGGCAACCTCTCTTCCTCTTCTTTGCATCTTGTTGTTCTGCAGGTAAAATTGCTGTCTTCTCTTTTCCTTCCTGACATCTTTCATTTCTTTACACAGTATCTTTTGTTAGATGTTTTGTTCATCTTCTTTTCTTCATTGAAAGTCAATCATGCTATTTAATATTCTTACTCATTAGACTGTGGCCCTCTTTGAGACTCATACATATAAGAACTATCATGCTTTTACTTACAACTTTAATTTATCTATATTTCCTAGTCTCTGCTGAGTTCAGATTTGCCATCTGCTGAAGACCGCAACAATGTCCTCAAGTTTGTGACATCGAACCCTGATGCCCTGGGAGCCCAGTCTCTCCGGATACTGTGCCTCGACCCACAGAAACAGCTGGAGTACATACTCGGTGAATTTCCTCACGTGCTTCTTCAGTATGGAAAGGCAAGTGGTTTGGTTTTCAGAAGGAAGAAAAAGAAAATTTTAAATAGATTAAAGTATGGAAACATTGATTATATATGTACTTCCACAGTTTTTTTCCTTGATTTGTATTATTCTCTGTTGATTTCATGTTCTCTTTTATAATTGAGCTGAGACACACATATATATTTATATATACATATTTGTCTTCTGGATAGTATAACTTTAGCCAAATAGTAGTTTGTTGTTCATGGAAAAGATTCAGTAGTCCAGTCCCTATCCAGATATTAACCACTAGCTGTGAAGTCTAACAGACATGTACCTACTTGCTTCCTATTTTTACCATTCTATTTCAAATATTAAATGAGTATTTCTCTCCCCAGGATATGTATGAATCGGCCGCTGAATGGGAGGAATTAGTCTGCAAGCTGATCAACCACAAATCGGGCTTGTGTGAATCAGACCTATCGTATTCAGTGTATTCTGATGTACTGAATGGTAAGTGAAAGGCCTGTTTTCTGATTATTCCTATGGCTTTTACTTGTTGGGTGAGAGTATAGTTTCTGTGTACAGGATTTTTTTATTTGTTCTCGATGTTCAGATTAGAGTCAGATGTTTTGGATTATATCTTGATGATTAGTTTTACATCCTTCACTCATTTCAGCCTTCCTTCGACATGTTACATTTACGAATAGTGCGTAGATGTTCAAAAACACTAGTAATGTCATAAGCACCTTTAACCTCTCCCACCTCCCACAGATGTTCTGAGTGAGCTAGTGATGACCGCACCCCTCGATGTCTTCATACGCATAATCCCCAAGAATCGCCATGAGGAACTGCGCGGTCACATCCGGCAGTGCCATTCAGCTGCCTTGGCACTCCACCTGCGCTCTTCACTAATTTCTTATGCCCACAATGTGTTAATGCAAATGTCCAAGTGAGGCAAACGACACAAAGGAATGTTCAAGAAACGGTAAGCAGTGAAGTGTATGCGAGGGACTATGCCATAAAAGACAGAGCTTTAAAGATTACTTTGCTTATTTATTTATTTTTATTTGACTCTTCTTCCAGTATTTGTCAAACTTTGTTTCATAACTTTATTTCTAAGTCCAGATTATTATTGTTATTAATATTATTGTTATTATAATTATTATTAGTAGTAATCATTGTCATAATTATATATGTGCCAGTAAAAGGTTTTAAGTTAGACATTGTTATGCATTCTAAAGTGCCAATACTTAAAAAAATATTCTATGTAGTATGATCCTTTTTTTTTTTTTTTTTGTAAAGATCTCATTTTGTTTCCTTTTGAAGTCTGTTCTGTATAGAAACTATTGATGTATCTGTAATAGACAGATGAAATGGGATTTAAATATATATGTGTGTGTGTGTGTGTGTGCGTGTGCGTGTGCATGTGCGTGCGTGCATGTGTGTGTGCCTATATATATGTATATGTATGTGTATATATATAAATGCATATATATATATATATAAATGCATATATATATATATAAATGCATATATATATATATAAATGCATATATATATATATATATATATATATATATATATATATATATATATGTATATATATATATATATATATATATATATATATATATATATATATAAAATTAATGCATGTATGTATGAACAATTATGTACAATTCTTATATATATTCACAGCTGTTAATGATTAACCCATTAGCTCTGGTATAGTGACATACATGCCATGATTTTTTTGACCTTCCTCTGAGTGGTACAATATCATGACATGGCACACAAGGCTGCTCCATTGTGTGTGCTAAACAATCATGCACTTGTTTGGCTCTGTATGCAATCACTGAAGAGATCTAGCCATCAAAATTTGGCTCTAAAATTTCTCCTTAGTTTCCTTAATCATAAATCAGTAATACGAGTCAAATTTACAGAAAACAGGGAAAATATATATATCTCCTGTTTCAGATATTTAGCATGCATACACCTCTAGGCTGGTCCAATTTGGCATGCATGCCCTCGGAGGCAGTGTGTTAATTTTTACTAGACTAACAGAAAGTATTTAACTAGATGTCATAGGCTAAGCGACTCGGACACTATTCCAACGGGTATTCTATTCATTTTATCATAATGAAAATTTGGTCACCAATCAATGAATCTATCTATGCATCTTTCATAGAAAAAAAGGAAAACACAACTGATTGTCTATATTTTGTTTTGTTATTTAAGAACTCCATGACAAACCTTGTCTTATTTATTGAAAGTAGTGTCTGATGTAAATCACCATATACTTAGATTTACTTTCATTAGCTGGTATACTTTGAATGAAGAGTAAGTCACAAAAAATGGGTTACTTGGCCAAGTGTACTCTATGAATATTGATTTAAAATTAGATATGGGTAGCCACAAAATACTAGTGTATGAATAGTGTGGCCAGACTATTTGAATGAACCACAAATATCATAAAATACTCTTTTATGTTGTTATGAAGAAGAAGAGAGGAAAAATGGAATTCATAAAGCAGTTTTTTTTTTCTTTTTTTCTTTTTCTTTTAAATTTCATGTGTCTGTTATTGACAGATTATTTCATTCAGTACATTTGTTATGAGGAAAGTTTGATGTGAAGTCTCTAAAACCTATACATACTTTTCAAATGAAAATATATCATATTAACTCTACTTTAGATTTTTAAAAAATATTTTAAGATGTTTTTTTTTTGCAATGAAAATAGACCTTGATGCCTAATTTGTGCCTCAACAAACCTTAAGTTCACCTTTGATTATAATTATGGTTGCCGAAAAAGGGCAAAATAAAAATAATAATTTATAGATCTGTACCAAACAGCTTTAATATTTCTAGTTGGTTCTTTAATCATATATATATATATATATATATATATATATATATATATATATATATATATATATATATATATATATATATATATATATATATATATATATATATTAGTGTATGTGTGTATATAAACATCATGGTGCAATTTATAACTGTTTTTTGTGATACTTTCTTTTTGTTTTGTTTGACTGTCATTTTTATTATATCCAATAAAATACTGAGTTTACTCAAAACAAGAATAATGGTTTTATTACCAGGAAAGTGAGGATAGAGATTTCAGGGTATAGTATAAGCTGATGTATCATTCATAATATTAACTGGCTTAAATATGTGTATTCATGAAAGTTTTATATTATTTTCATATAAAAGAAAGAATATGTAATTAATAAAGGATATAGAAAAATATCTCAAGTCATGTTTATTGTCTGCAAAGAATTTTTGCCCATTATTCATATAATCAAAGTTATTCAAAGTGTTTTTTTGGTCAGCCTTGACACTATAAAACATGACAGTGATACGAGAAAATATTTTTAACAACGAACAAGAACTGGACATGATAAGGATAAGAATAAACCATATTTATTTAAAATCAACTGGTTTCCCAATCATTACAACAATATATATATTTTTTTGTTTTGTCAGACTAACACATGTTTTAGTTCTTCCTAAGAAAAATATTCTTCAACTTAACAATTTAGGAAGAAGGGCAATGACCAATACATTTTTTCGTAAGTGAACAGTACTCCTTGTACATTCTAGAGTAAAATCAACAATCCAACTATACTCTCTTTAACATAACCTTTCACAAGATCAGTTCATAAAAATTCCACACACAAAGAAATTCTTCATTTCACGCCAGTAATAGCCAAACCATTTTTCTACTACAGAATTAAGTACCGATGACAAGACTTAATCATATTAAAGACATACTGAAAGGTAAGGTAGTTCTCATTCTCCAATATAACTAGTAATGTGTCAATAACTGCACAATATTACAATGCCTACTACAACCTTTTTTGTTTGAACTGTGAGGTAAATAAATATATCTATCTTCACATCAATTGGATTTCTAAATGATGTCGAATGGTGCACTGTGAAATAGACAACTTAGCGTTAATGATCATGTCATATGAGTGAGTTCTTGAAATCATGCAAAAGTGGATGCTCTTGAGTATCATTTCTAATAAAACCTACATTACCCGTTATCATTATTATTATCATTTTGAAAAAAAAAGTCTTAAGTATTTTGTAGACTCGGAGAAGGAAAAATAACTAAGAGGAATTGGTAACCTGCAAGCAAACAGTGACTCATTCAATTACTTCCTAAAACTTCAAACGGTAAAGTGAGACAAAAATGGTAACTATCCACAAAATCATTTGAAAATATCAAACCTATGGCATATAAATATGATAATAAATTTCTAACTTACTCCAAGCAAAGAATTTATTTGAAAGTGAATCAGAAAGAAATGTCGAATGGTGAAATGTACATCTGAAACAACCCCATGGGTGAAAAAGCAGAGGGTGACACAACACAACTAGGAAAGAACATCGTTACGGGTCGTTGCCCTCCTCCTCACTGTGCCCCTGATGTGGTTCCTCGTCTCCGTGGTCTCGCTTCTGCTTCTTGGCATGGATGTCTGCAAGAGCTTCTTCTATTGTCCTTTTGTCTTTCTTCAACTCACTTCGCACTGTTTGAAAAAAAAAAAAAAAAAAAAAAAAAAAAAAATGTACTATTAACAGAGCTAAACTGTAGTCTTCTTTCACCCAGATTCATACTTAAACTCCTAATATACTTAGACATTTTGGTAGAAAAAAATTGACTGGAATACTCTCTTACTGACAAGGTATTCAATTTGAACCTGAACATTGGGTTTTCTACCATAGGCAGTTTCCTTCCTTACCATTTTCTCGGACTATTGCCATATGCCCGATACCCTTCCCATAGACCGTCCAACCCTACTTTTAAAACAGGAGAGAGAGGATGAGTATTTTTCCAGGAAGTAACTTACTGGACTTTTCAAGCTTTCTTTGCAGTAAAGACTATAACAGATCTTCTATTATATATTGCATTTACCAAAGAACATGCCAAAGAAATCAGGACCGGATCACCGGGGGGGGGCTCCCTACTTTTGGCAGAGTAATTAATTTTTTAGACCAGGAATTTTTTACACATCATCAGGGAAAGACATGGGATATAGGTAGGAAAAGTCCCAGTCAGCAATAGAGGGGATAATTGATAGAAACTCTCTATCCCACTTAGGCTTGGTGCCTTTCACATTCACAATCGTCTTGGCTAGGGGTTACGTCCCCCCTTTCTAACAATCCTGGATCCGGCCCTGGAAATACTAACATTAACTACTTAGAGTAAAGTTTCCCTTCTATTTCTAATCATTTTTACCTCTCTGTATCTCTCTCTATCCATTTCTTTCTACCTTTTTCTATCTCTCTACCTCTTTCCCTTACCCTTCCCCTTCTTCTCCTTCTCCTTCTCCTTCTCCTTCTCCTTCCCCTTCTCCTTCTCCTTCCCCTTTTCCTTCCCCTTCTCCTTCTCATTCCCCTTCTCCTTCCCTTCTCATTCCCCTTCTCCTCATTCTCCTTCATCTTCCCTTTCTCTCTCTCATTCTCACTTATCTTCTCTCTCTCCTTCCCACTCACCTTCTCTCTCTATCTCATTTTCTCTCCCTTTCCCATTCACCTTCTCTCTCTCCTTCCCACTCATCTTCTCACTACCCTTCATCTTTTCCAACACAAGATAAAACTCACCAAAACCAAACTGTTTATTGACTTCCAAAATTCTTGCAGAATCCTTCCCTGTCTCCTTGCCAACCAGACGCTCATACTTCTCAGTGAACTTGCTTGAGCAGGGGTCTTTTTTCAGCTGTTTTGCTCTGACTTCGTCTTCCTTGCGCCGCTGCTCTTTCTAGAATCAAAAAAGCAAATCCCATGGCATTCATTGTGTGGACATGAATATATTATACATATAAACATATGTACATTTTATATATACAAATACTTACAAATAAATAAAGAAATGCATAAATAATTACACACAAATGCACTTGCACACACACACACACACACACACACACACACACACACACACACACACACACACACACACACACACACACACACACACACATAATCAAAGAAACTGGTCCCCAAACATACAAGCATGGCAGCCTCCTTTGCTTTCTCTGGGTCCCACTCTTCACCATTCTTGTAAGCTTCCAGTTCATCTTCAGTCAGTACATATTCCTTCTTAAACACCATCACGTGGCGGTCAACATCCTCTACCCCAAAAGCATACGTTGTGAGGCCAGCAACATCAGCGACATCTCGGCTGAAAACAAGTAGGTTGTGTATTATGATGAAATTAGGTACTGTATCTATACCAACTCTCAAATGCACAGAAATAAATATCCCTTTTGTGTGTGAATTTTTTGTATTATCAGTCATTTCAATCTAACTGTACAATATTATGCTGTTTCTATTTCCAGTTCAATTCATATACAGAAAAATATATGGTTTACGTACAAGACACTATATACAACAGAAATATCAAAGACTGT